GTTTTTGGCATTATTTGATTTAAAATCTGATTTTCCAAAATGATTTGCCGGATTGGACTCTTTGGTGTTTATCAGTCTTACATTGCACTTTGTGAGATTAGATTCAGAACCGTGACAGGAGTCCGAACTGTAGGAGACCAATTCGCGCCTCTGCGAAAGGGGGGCGCACGAAGAAAGTCGGGTCTACACTCTCTCTATCGATGTCGGTCTCTCTCCCTCTCTGTCAATCTCGGTCTCTCTCTCTCTCTCTCCCCCTTTCCAAATTGAAGACAGTTTTATTCCTAACTTATTTTCTTCTTTTTTTGATTTATGTTGTTGATGTTATGTTATATTTTGCCTCTAGCATTGAAGTCCATTATCCAATCATTTCTTTGCTTACACATTTGCAAAAGCAGGTTTACATTTTGTCTTGAAGATAGAAAGAGATCCAAATTGCAAATTTTGTTTCTTGAGGAGCACAGTTAGATGGAGGACTGGGGTAATATTTCATGGCTTTATTTTTGCAACATTTCAGCTTCCAAGCTTGATGGAGTATTGTATGTCTTTTTAATTCTATAACATAGTCACATTTTACTATCTGAAATTACAAGTTCTAATTTATAGAACTATTTATCCCAAAAAAAAAAAAAAAAAAAAATTATAGAACTCCAATTCAATTATGGTTGAATTGATTTGCGTTTATATAAATTTGGGAGGATGGTGTGCAAAACTAGGAAATTGAATGGATGTTCAAAAAGGTTAGGACTCCAGGTGCTTGGCTTAACCATGTTATTCATTGATTATGGCCTCGTTTACAAATATCATAATATTCTTCCATGTTAGTTTATATTTTTCGTTTTTAGTTTTAATCATAATATGTGCTATTTTGCAATCAAACTATGTTGCTTGAGGATTATTTCTTTTTATTACTTTGGCTATGATAAATGATACTTTCTAAGCGGAACTATTTTAAGTTGATGTATAAGTTAATTTGCCCAATAATCTTATAATTGTAAAGCATTAAGTTGAAAGCACATGGGTTGACGGCTTGAGGTATAAAATAGGCTTAGCATAGCTAGTTTCAATTTGGTTTGTAATTAATTAGCTTAGAATTGTTAATTCGTTTTGGTTTGTAATAGAGCCTCTGTTTGGCAAGTGAGGTTGGAGGCTTTTTTGGCTATTTTAGCCACAAAAAACAAAATAGGCTATTTTAGCCATAACAAACAAAACATCACATCCAACCCATAATCATTACATTCTTCTCTCACAAAAAAACTTAAAAAAGCCAAAAAGCCAAAAAGCTCTTCCCAAACCAAGCTTTTAAGCCCAGACTAAAATAGCCAAAAAAGTCAAAAAACCAAAAAGCCAACCCACTTCCCAAACCAAGCCTTAACAAAATAAATGATTCAAATATCAAAACATAATTCACGATAATTCTCACAAATGCAAACAACACTTCCCAATTAAAATTATGAGCCCGAGGAATCTACCTCGTTTCAGCTACAATGGTTATGTTTGGCATAAAAAAAAATTGGATTAAAATAGTTAACAAATAAATAATATAAAATATCACATTTAAATTATAATTATTTTATTTTTTTACAAAAATTAAAAAAATTAAAAAATTTATCTCAAATAAAACTTTTTAATCTCAAATAAAATAGTAAAATTTTTTTTAAAAGAAATTAAAAAATTAATTTACATTCCAAACAGAAACTAAAGCAAATAAAATTTTAAAAATAAAAAATATTTTGATATACCCACATGGGCAAAGTGGGGTCAGGATTGAATAATTTTCCGCACTCTGAAAGATGAGAGAGGGAGAGAGAGAAAGGGGTGAGTAGAAAGGCCGAGAGTCCCATCTTTACATCAATCTCTCACCATTGAGCTTTCCAGTCATGTCTTGTAGATGTACTTGTTTAACTGTTGAACCTTCTGTTCCTCAGCTTTCTGTCCCATCCAGCAATATTCCCAAATGGAATGTGGGACTCCCAATCAACCATTACTCGTTTTTTGTTTTTGTTTATTTTTATTTTTATTTTTATTTTTATTTTTAACTCCCCTTCTTCTAATCTCCTGACTGTTCTGGTAAATAACTACTAGAAAAGGTGATTTTAGAGAACTTTCACACTTCAAAAACTCCAACTGAAATGGGAAGGTCTATAAATTGTTAAAAAAAAATTAAAAAAAAAACAAAGATAGAAATAAAGAGAAGATAGCATGACGATTGAAATTGCAACTATAGTTCTAAAAACTGGTTAATACGCTATGTATCAATTAATTCGTATCAAAAAAATAAGGCATCACGACGACTATAAACCAGTATGTTGCTGAGATTGAAAATCATAGGAGAATCGGTCGAGTTCCGATATGTATTGGTGTGTAACCATTACACAAGCCATTATACAAGTCGCGACAGACCGACACTCACCGGTTTGAACCGGTACAGGAAAGAAAAAATTGAAAAACTTGTGAAACATGGTTCTAAATACCGGCCGATACATATTGAAAAAATGGGGTACCGCGACAGATACAGGCCGATATACCGCTGAGATTGAAAATCGCAAGAATATCCGCCGAGTCCCAGTACGTATTGGCTTGTAATCGTTACATAAGCCGCGACGGGTCGATATTCACCGGTTCAGACCGGTACAGGAAAGAAAAAGCTAAAAAACATGTAAAATGATTTTTAAAATTTCACCGCCGTGACACCCGATCTCTGATACGTATCGATTGATACTACCGATACCGATATTCCGTGATCGATACCGTTATGTTACCTGATACTGCGATTTAGAACTTTGCTATGAAATGATTTTTAAAATTTCACCGCTGCGATACATGATTCCCTATACGTACTGACCGATACTACCGATACCGATAGTCCTTGATCGATACCATTACGTTACACAATACCGCGATTTAAAACCATTTGCAACCCAAAAAAATAAAATAAAAACCACCATTAACGAAGTGTTTCGCATTGATGATGTTTAAATTGTAGCTGCATATTTTTTACAGCGGTGCTACATGCACCAATGAGTGTACTAATCAGTGTACCAATACTAGTTATAGCATTATTATTGACGTCACTCATTAATCACATTACAAATACCAAAAATCTTTTAAATTATGTCACATCATCAATTGGTACATTAGTTAGTACACTAATTAATACATATAGCATTATTCCTTTTTTTTTTACCCTTTTTGTCTTTTGGAATTTATTTTAAAAAAAATTTTGTTAAAAGTTTTTTTTTGTGTTTTGCGATTTTTTTTTTTTTAATCCAATATATTAATTTATTTATTTTTAAGGTTTTTAGTAGAATAGAATCCAAAAACTAAAAAGAATACTAAAAACAAAAAAATAATAATAATAAGTAATAAAAAACTAATTCAAAATACATTTACCAAAACCAATCTAAAAATATAGAATTAGAATACTGAATAGAACACAGACACTCGCAAATTTATGTGAACACATAGAGTCTATTTGGTACAATTTCTTACAAATTGAGAATTGATAATTAGAAAATAGAAATTAACAACATTCTTTCCCCAACTTCTCGATAATCAGTTTTTCATTTTAGCTTATTTAAGTTATTGTTAACTTATAACTGTAAATATAAATTGCACCAAATATTTTGACACATGTCAAAATATTAAAAAAAAATTATAAACATGCCTATAACTGCACCAAATAAAACCATAATAGGTTCATAAAATTGTGAGTGCCTATCGCTCCATCTGTGTCCCAATGTGGGGGGTTCACAATCATCTTCTGTCTGTGTTCCAATTATGTGCTCTCACTCTCAGTGCTGTTCTCAAAATCCACTAACCAACCATATAACAGTGAATGTTTCAGTGGGGGTTTCACTCTTCAAACTCTTGTTATAAACCCCTTTTAGCTTCTCCAAACTCTGTGTTGTTGATGTTGCTGCGATTGTTTCCATTCCATTCAAAGAGACTGCTGAATTGATCCAACACCTCTTTGTTTTCTCTCTCCTCATCTCCTGAAAACCCTTGGCTGAACAACAGGTTTAATGGGTCAGCTTCAATCTCTCCCAAATCTGCAAAAAAATCTTGATCAGACTGAAAACTCTCAGGCAATGCGGGCCGATAAGAAAACCCTTCACTGAATTCACCATCCTCCATCTCTATCTGCTTGTCAAGGTCTTCCACCATCTCTTCCTTCACCGGTGTTGTCGATGACGACACGGTGTCAACATTGTCGCTGCTCTCCTTCTGTTCTTGTTTGATTCTTGGTGAATTCTTTGAAGCTGAATTGTTGTTGTTGTTGTTCTTTGATGGTTGGGATCGAGTAGAGCCGGCTAGAGCATTTCTCTGAGTTGGCCATGGATGGTTGTGCTCTGAAGTGTAGGTTATGACTAACATGTTTGGATCTGTTCTGCTTCGCTCCACTTGTTTTCTGGCTGAACAACCCTTTGAGCTGCTGCATCTGTAATAGCCCCTGGAGAGAGAGAGAGAGAGAGAGAGAGAGAGAGAGATGACATGAATTACAAAATATTGACAAATTGAATCAAGTTATTAAAATCTATATTTGACTTGCATTCCAATCTAAATGACAATTACAGTATAAAAGACTACTCCAATCAATGGTATATCAAAAGTCTATCATCATTAATGGTCAAACAGTAGTAGTTAATGCGTGTTGGGTTTCGTTTTTCTTTTTTTAATTTTTCAAAAACACAGTGGAATTTTCTGATTTTTGTTTTTGATTTTTAAGAACTTTGTAAATTGGAAATAAAAATACATTTGACAACTAGTTTAATTACTAAAAGATGGAGACAAGTATTTTTTAATGAATTTTATTGAAAAAATATGTATTCACTTATTTTCTAAACAAATTTCATTCATTTCCCTTGTTGATCGGCTATCATTCTGAACGCCACACCCACTCTACTCTCGTCTTTCTGCAATTCACTAAACATAATTTTCTTTATTTTTGTTTTAGAAAAATATGTATGTAATGTATCAAACATTTTAATATTTTTGTTCTAGTAAAAAACACACACAAAAAAAAAATTCATGTTTTTCAAAGTTTCTAAACATAAAAGTGATAATGTTACAAAACACAACCCAAACTAACATTGTTGCAACAAGAAAAGAAACATACATTCTTTCATGCCAAAAATGAAGTCAAAATTAATGTAATTAATAAGTTGGGCAATTAATGTTTCTCACAGCATGAAACGCAAATTGCAGCTTCGGATCATTATATGAATGTGGAATTTTCTTCTCTTATCAAGAATGACTGATAGAAATAAGACCTAATCTTGAATTACTTACCTTGGATAAGGAGATCCTTTGATAGGCTTCTGACCGTACTTTCTCCATGCCCACAGATCAGATGGAACCACTTCTCCACTTTGCCTGCTGTTTGCAGGTGCTGGTGCTGGTATGCAGACTACCTTCTTTGCCTGGCTCTTCCTGTATATAATATATATATATATATATAAATATATTCAAATCAAGATTGGTTTTTCGCTAACTTTCGTAAACCAACTCCAACAAGCAACAAGACTAATAACAAGATGTACTTGTGTATTACCACCAGTCGGTTTCTGTATTCGTAACAGAACTGTCTTACTTTCCTCAAAAAAGTTGAAAATTGTAGCAAGTTCTTTAAGAAAGGCCAGAATAAAACACAAATATTTTCAGATGCGTTTTTGGAGAAAAGTAGATATAGATAACTTCATGAAGCTAAGTCTGAAAATACCATTGTCATGCTTTCACGGTGGTGATATATTGGCCGATATCACACAGTATGATGAACAATACCGACCAACTTATAGGTGAATATGGTATCGGAATTTTGAAATTCCGAGGTCAATACCATAGTTATCATACCAGTTGAGCTGTATTTTCAGGCTGATGAAAAATTCAAAACCCATTAATGTATTGAGCAAGTTTTGGTTCCTCATAACTCTACAATGAATTTCTACATAAAATATGAAAATATACACTATACCCAACAAACCCTATATTAATTTCCTAATACTCAACAGTATTTATTATTTGTTTTTGAAGCCAAGAGTACTTCTCTATGATCTGTGAACTATATGATTATCGTTATAAAAAGAATATGTAGCAACTTGAAATCAATTAAACTGTTTGATAATTAATTCAAACAGTTCTCATTTCTCACCTTCTCTTGATACCCGAATTTCGCGGAGACGAGATCTGCACACCAGTACTCTCAACCAAGCAACTCTTCGATGTATTAGCACTAATCAAATCATTAGGAACAAAAGCAGAAGCCTTAATCCCCCGAGGCGAAGCCACCGCTACCACCGGCGACTCACAAGGCGAAACGGGCAGCTTACTATTCGGCGAGATCTGAAGCATCCTTGAGAAAATATTACAAGGTCTCTTCATCTGCTCATCAAGGATCTTGTGACCAAGAACACCACCAGCGCCACCACCAAAGGCGGCGGTGGTGGTTGGGTCTCCAACACCACTTTTCATAATTTCTGTAGAATTGTTTAAGCTGTTGAAAAACCCTGAACTCGGCATATTAAGCTCGTGAAGAAGTGGATCTCTCATGTTAGAGAAGAAAGGATCGCCAAAATCATCGACCGCCGGTTCTTCTAACCCAGATGGGTAATTCATTGAATGATCTGCTGGAAACTGCCAGTCAGACACCGGTACTTCGCCGGAAAAGCCACTACCGCTCACCCCACCGCCGCTGGCTCGGACTATGTCAGCTAAATCACCTTGGTAATTTTCCATAGTTTGGAGAAAGAAACTACGCATGCTTTGGAAGAAAAAAAACAATAGAAATGGGAACAGAAGTAGAATTAGAAGAAGAGCCTCTCATTTGACCTCTCTCTGGTTTGGTATGTTTTGCGCCAAACAGACGTAAAGGACATGCACTTGTATGTATGTGTGTGTTTCAAAGTGCTTTTTGATCAAGCAGCTGTGAAAGAGTTGTGGGTAGATGGGTCTTTTGCTGTTTAGGAAGCATGTAAAAGCACAACCATGTTTTGAAGGTTGAAACTGGTGTTTGTTATCTTGTCAAAAAAAAAAAAATGTATTCTTATAGAATTCATGACAACAATAATGTGATAACAGTATTTTTTAAAAAAATAACATATAAGTTTTATATAAATATATATATATATATATATATTTTTTAAATTTAATATTGTATAAGTGATATAATTGATTAATAATTAAAAAAATATGAAAGAGAGAGAGAGAGTGAGTTACCTTAGATGCCGTTTGGCATGTGGCTTTTTTAGTAAGCTTTTTGGCTATTTTAGCTCTGGTTCAAAAGTTCATTTCGGTGGGCTTTCTTGATTTTTTTTTTATTTTTATAAAAGAAAAAATAATATGATTATGATTTGATGTGACATTTTATCTTATTGATTTTTTTATCTTATTTTGTCTTTTTATAACTAATTTGGCCAAAAAAGCCAATGTCATACAAAGTAATTGATTGTCATATCGTTAAACTTGAAAATTAAGTCTAATTTTTAGACTTGTATAACAATACACTTTAAAAATATATATTATCTTGATCAATCTTTTACTTTACATTCTTCATTTAATTTTTATATCTTTTTATTGTATAGCACTACTCAAAAATAAAATTACTATACCAACAGAAATAATATACAACACACACACACACACATATATATATAGGGCATTGATTTAGACTCTCTTAAAACACTCACCCCCACAACCCCCTCACACACATGGAGGTTGGGGATTGGGGTGAGAAGAAAAAAAAAAAAAAAAGGAAAAAAGTTAACCAATCAAAACTAATGGGGGTCAAGGGGTGACCCCCAAAGAGCGTCTCAACCTTTATTCATATATATATATATATAATGATGTATGTATCTTTCATAAAGCTTGTATGTGTGTATTATCAATAAAACTTTTTCTTTTGCCGTTCAAAATAAAAAAAATGCTGTATTATCGAAACAATTACTGTAATATTATTTCAATAATGTTACAGTTATACATTTTTATATTTTGTTATGTTTATCATCTTATTTATTAACACAATATTAATATAAGAACAATAATACAAAAGTCCACTTTCTAAACTTATTTTTAAGGCTCAGTGATGTGTGAAATAAATTATTAGTTGATGATTAGAGAATACATGAGATAAATAGTTGTTTTAGCTATTCTAATAAACTCTTCTATCATTAAATTTGAAAAATAAATCTAACTTTTAAGCTAAGTAAAACTGCTACGAGTGTAATTAGTCTCATTACTTAGGTATATATCTAATATAATGTTGACAAACGCATCATATCTCAAACGCATCATATCTTAAGACATAATAGTATAAATAAATAATTATTGTAATAATACTCATATTATTTTTAGTGATTAATTTTGTGAAAAAAATTTATACCAAGAAAGAATGGTTTGAGAGAAAGAGAGAGAGAGAGTGAGAGATCGCTGACTTTTTGACACATACTTCTCCATACGCAACAAAGAAAGAAAACAAAAGAGTTCTAAACTTTAAATAATTAGCCTTAATCTACAACTTCTTGAGCTGGGTGATTCATAATACATAAATATAAAAATGTTTATCTGATTAAAAGAGTCAATTTTTTGCAACTGTTTCTGTTATTTTAACACATATTTTAATATTTTTTTGGGGGTGGTTCTCTCTCCGATAGTGTTACATGTATTAATTAATGTACTGACTAATATACTAACATTAATTATGATATTGTTATTGACCTTACTCATTATAGAAATTATAAATACTAAAAATATATTAAATTATGTAACATCATCAATTAATATACTAATTAATATATAGTATTGTTTTCTCATTCTAAGCATTTCACTCAGTTAACATTTTTTATTTTTTTATTTTTTTATTTTTTTTTTTTGAGGGTTAGAACTTGGCAAAGCCAACAAGTAAGGAGTGAGTTCACAAAAGTCATTTTTCGGAAAAAAGAAAAAATAAAAAAGAGGCGGCAAGTAGCCGCATTTCTCGGAAAAACGTTTCGAACCGCGGGTCGATCCGTTTCTTTGCCTCTTCCCCGTTTCGTTGTTAGTGTAAGGATTTATTTAATTATTTAATTATTTTTGAGACAGTGAGATATTCCAATTATTTAATTATAAAGATTACATACAAAGACGTGTATATATAGATAATTATATTAGTATCTTACCTTACCTATCAATGTGATGCATTTGTTAAATTTAAAGGATCAAGATGGAACACAAAATGGGTGAAATAAAATGAATGAAATGTTGGAATAAAATTGTGTTTTCATAATTATCTGATTAATTTTATTTTTTTTATAAACAACTTATATATATATATAGTTATGAAATAAACGTATCGAATTATTTGAGTGAGACTCGAAATGGGTTGAAAGGCTTGCACTCGATTTGCCAATCTACATGATAAGCTTATCCAGTTTCATTTATTGTAAATTGAAAATTGATATTCAAAAAATTGAATTCAAATGTATTGCTTGCTCAACTTTTAAATTATTAGTTTTTTTAATTTATTTAATTTATTTCTACTCAATCGGTTGTAAGCAAAAGTTTCACCAAATAATTTAACACAGACTCTCAAACCAAGCCTTAAGTCCCATCAAGTGGAGGGTTAAGGTAAGGAGATCCTCTTTCTCCATTCCTCTTTAATATTGTAGTGGAGGGTTTAAATTTGTTGTTGGCTAGAGCAAAAGAATTGGGGCTAATTAAGGGTGTTTCTGTGGGTCATTCTGAGATCCAACTCACACATCTACAATTTGCAGATGATACTTTACTATTTTGTGAAGCGGAAGAGGCAGAGGTGGTGAATATTAAAAGAATTTTGAGATGCTTTGATATTGTCTCAGGTCTGAAAATAAATTTTCATAAGAGTGTTCTATGTGGAGTAGGAATTGAGGAAGCTCGTGCGCAGGTATTTGCATCCAAATTCAATTGTCAATGCCAAAAGTTACCTATGAAGTATTTAGGACTACCTCTTGGGGCTAATCTCAAGTCACGAAAGTCTTGGCAACCTGTGGTGGACAAAGTGAAATCAAAATTGGCCATTTGGAAAAGAAAGTTGCTCTCTTTTGGTGGTAGAGTAACATTGATTAAGTCTGTCCTATCCAATTTACCATGTTATTATTTATCTATGTTTAAACTACCTGAAGGTGTGGCGAAAACTATTGATAGGTTGCAAGCAGCCTTTTTGTGGGGGAGCTCTGAACAAAAAAGAAAAATACATCTTGTTAAGTGGAAGGAGATTATAACTAGCAAGAAGCAAGGAGGTCTAGGCATTGTGAATCTGAAAGAAATGAATTGCAGTCTTCTATTGAAATGGTGGTGGAGATATGGAGAGGAGGATAAGGCATTATGGAATAAGGTGATTAATAGTAGGTATGGAGCCATTGGAGGGGGTTGGCTACCTAAGATGGAGCCTTCTGGGCGGGTGTCTGCTGTGTGGAATGGTATTCTATATGGGGTAGAAATACATCCAGATTTAATTAATTTTTTCCTCTCAAAAGCATAAATCAATTTGGGTGATGGTAAGCGAGTGTGCTTTTGGCTGGATAAATGGTTGAGGAATATGAAGCTTAAAGATGAATTTCCGAGACTGTTGAGTTTGTCTACTGAAAAGGAGGTCTCCCTGGAATGTGTTGTACAGAGAAAGGAGGGTGTAGGGGGCTGGCATTTAAATTTCAGAAGGTCTCTAAGGTCATGGGAAGAAGTTGAGGTTGTTAGATTATATACGTTGCTTGCTGAGGTACCACCTCTGAGACCAACCATCCCAGACTCTCTTAGGTGGCTGAGGTCTTCTTCTGGGAAGTTCACAGTTGCTGCAGTAAGAAAGTGGTTGGCTGCTCATCATGGGCCGAAGTTGATGATCCCTACACTTCTATGGGGTAATGTGGCCCCTCCCAAAGTTCAATTTCTGGGCTGGTTGATCTGGAAGGGTCGAGTTAAAACCACTGATTTTTTGCAAAGGATTGGTGTTCTTAACAGCAGTGTAAGTAATGTTTGCCCTTTTTGCAAAGCTGAACCTGAATCTTTGAACCATATATTTCTGATGTGCAGGGGCATTTGGGAGTCTTGGACTGAATTGTTAAATTGGTGGGATGTGAAATGGGTATTACCTACTGCAGTAGTAGATTTGCTCCATTGGTGGATGGGTTTTAAAGGTAAAAAGATTATTATGAACATTTGGAATTTAGTACCAATGGCTATGTTCTGGTATATTTGGAAGATAAGGAATGATTGTATTTTCAATGGGGGTCAGCCTAACCTAAAGGAGCTGAGTGAATCTGTCAAGTGGAGAGTGGCTCTATGGGCCAAATCCAATCTTCCAGGTTTTTCTTACTCCATGCATGATATTGTGCATAACCTCAGTCAGATTTTAGCCTGCAGTTAACTGTGCTTATATCTTTGTTTGGTATCTGTGTAGCCTTAGTCACTAGTTCTATTTGCTCTGCTGCTGGAATCTGAATACTCTGCTGTTTGTATATGATCTGATCTGTATCTGATCTGGGTTGCTGGTCTGGTAATTTATTCTAGTTCTGTTGGTTGTATGCTTTCAGTTTTGCTTCTGATCTGGTTGTATGCCCATCAGTGATGTATGCCTTCAGTTTTGCTTCAGATTTGCTTCAGTCTGTATCAGTGCTGGTTGCTGATTGTATGCTGTATGCTCTGCTGTTTGTATGCCGTGTGAATCTGCTTCTGTTGTGCTTCAGTTGTATCTGATAAGGGCTGCTGGTCTGGGGAATCTACTCCAGCTATGCTTCAGTTGTTCTTCAGTTTTGTTTCAGTGTTGGTCTCTCACCAACAGTTCTGTTTGTGGTGCTGTGCATCATCACCCTCCCCCCTATCATTTCTTGTCCCTTTATTGATGTACTTTCTCCTTCTTGGAAGGTTTTTTCATCAATGAAGTTTTTGTTGATCAAAAAAAGTCCCATCAAGTGGAGTTGGCTATATGAATCTTTTTTCTCCACTCAACTCAATCAATTGACATTTGATTAGTCAAATTATAGAGATTCATATCTCTATTCACTATAATAGTCCACGTAAATCTAGGTTTATCCCTTCCCCTAATACTCTCATCTATCATTAGTGTATCGCATCTCTTCACTACTAACTTTGTTAGTCTCCGTTATATGTGACTAAACCATTTCAATCTATTCTTTTTCAACTTATCTTCTATTGACACTACTCCTATCCATTCGCGAATATGCTCATTCCTTACTGTCTTCCTTAATGTTGCAACAGATCCACCTTAGTCTAATATAAAAAATTATAAATAATTTAGATAAATAGTACCAAATAGTCCAATAAACAAGAGACGAGCCATCCCCAGATTTTAAAACACAATTTGATAGTAGAAATAAACAAACGAAGATGAAACCTTGAGATGCACCTTGAACGTGCAATCTCGTTTGAGATTGTTCCACTTGTGCATAAATTTGTCCCCTAGCTACCAGTAATTTATGTTAGGTTACTACCCATATATATCAAGCAAATTTACGGCATGAAAAATGAAATTTAAATGTGCATCCTACCTAGATACCTAAATCTAGCTAGTAAATTAAAATTTTAGTTTCATTGTTTGAATCACCAATATATATATATATATATGTACATGGTGTAATTTGTCTCTTACATCAGTTTAGTCCTTATAATTATAATTGCACAATTATACCATTGAAATTGTCAAATTATATGTGTAAAATCTAAAATTCTGAAGATATTGATGTGTAATTATGTACCAATTTTAAGCAGTAAATAACAATCCAAATCAAAAAATCAAGACAAATCAACACAATGATTTTACGTGAAAAAATCACGAGCAAAAGTCACAGACAATCCACTAAGAAGACATAAAGAAATTAAACAAGTGTACTCTCAACTACCTAATGAATCCACGCCCGATCAAACCAACCCCTATGTGTCTCTTCTAGCCCCGTCTTCACCTCGGAATTATCTTTCCCAACGTTGAATCCACAACGCCGATGTCGAATCACGACAATGAGCCACTCCAGAATCCACCAAAACTTCAAGCCCAAATTCTCCGAAATCCACCGAAGAACAACTTTCTCTTTTTTGAATAAAACAAAACAAACAAACCCCTTGATATAATCAACTCAATTCATAATTAAACTCTCACAGACATCAACTGAAACAAATAAAGAAGCTTCAGATGAAAACCTTAATGCCCAAGATGAAAATCTAGAAGTCGTAACCCTAATATCTGATAGAATCACATATCTATAGAAAATAGGGCCGCAATCCTCGCTCGAGCGTCAGAATGGCTGCTCGAGCGGATTGACTAAAACACATGTGACTAAATAAGGTCTACGCTCGAGCGCAGGAATGGCTACTCGAGCGGAAAAAAAACAACTCCTACTACATTTGCAGGCGAGTGAAACTTCTGAAAAGTTGCAATCTCCGCTCGAGCGCAAGAATGACAGCTCTAGCGGAAAAACAACATGATCCCTGACATAGTCAGCGAAGTGGCAAATATGATAGGATTAAGATCACAAACTTCTCTGCATAGGCACAATTCAGATTGGATTCGCATCTAAAGCACATAGCCTCATTGAAATAAAAAATCGAATAAAATTACTATTGAAATGAGTTTTGTCAAACGGAATTACCAAGAATAAAAACCTAACAGTGTGAATTTAACTAAATTGATAATACCTTTTGAAAAGTTATATTGAAATCAAGGGATAAAATGGTCTATTTAATCTTCTTCTTCTTCTTCTTCTTTTTTATTGGCAAAAGAAAAACTTTCATTGATGAACCAAGAAATCATTACATCAAGAAAGGAAAAGAGTTGGGTGCAAAAAAGCACAGCTTTTTTAAATTGACCTCTATTCAATCTTCTTACAATGATTGAGGGATTGATATCTAATTTAAATTGACTTATTTAGTAAAATTGAGGGGTTGACACAATTCAGTTAGTAAAATTTTGTGAAGTCATGAATATTGATGTTGCTATAAATCAATTAAAAGTCTTAATTTATTTTAATAGAAAAATATAGAAAAATGGTAAATATGTAATCTAAATTCTAAACAAAATTGCATGCTAAAAATTTAAATATTTATTTGAACATAAGAAGCATCACTATAAGATTTTGCTTAGGCGTCGAGCTGCAACTGAAATTAGTTTCTCCCATCTCCTATCGTTACCTTCAATATAGACACAATCACTCTTCCTAACTTGTATACTTACTGGGTTTTTATTGTATATTATGAGACCATCTTTATGGAATTTTTTTTTTACATTTATTAAATGTCAAAGCAACAATGCTATTAAAACTCATTTTTCCACTAAACCAATCCATTTTCAAAGTCAACGTGGGTTGTTGACTTCTCAAGCACTAGCATTGCTTTGTATTGCAATGGTGCTTTGGAGTAGGGATGACAATGGGGGTTAATGGGGTAGGTATTAATTTTTTATCCTCATTTCTTTATAATAAATTTTTTTCATTTCCCATTCCATATTCCTCATTCCCCATGGGTACCGCCCTCCCCATTTCCTAATGGATTTGGATTTTCCCCAACCTACTTTAATCTCATTTTTATTTTACTTTTATTTTTTATATTTAATGTTAACAACCACTTTTTTTTTTTATATATTTTATTTTAAGGTTCACAACAAAAGTTAAATATACCTTCAATTTTTTTTCTTTCTTTTTTAATATATTTAATGTTAACAACCACTTTTTTTTTTTTAAGGTTCACAACAAAAGCTAAATATAACTTCAATCTTTTTTCTTTCTTTTTTAATATATTTAATGTTAACAATTTTTTTTTTCGTTTTTTAAAGTTTTAGCTAAATATACCTTCAATCTTTTTTCTTTTTTTTTAAATATATTTAATGTTAACAACTTTTTTTTTTTTTTTTAAGGTTCACAACACTTCAACCTTTTTTCTTTCTTTTTTAATATATTTAATGTTAACAACTTATTTTTTTATTTTTTTTAAGGTTCACAATAAAAGCTAAATATACATTCAATCTTATTTTATTTTATTTGGTTCAACAATAAAATCAAATACACATGAATTAATTAATTAAAAAGTTTGTTTTATAATAATCAAATATATAATTTTGAGACAATCAAATAAGTTTTAGTAATTAAAAAAAAATGTGGAAGAACGTGGAAGATTAAAAAAAAAATTACAACCATCTCTCTCTCTCTCTCTCTCTCTCTCTCTCTCACTCTTTTCCCCTACATGTTATAAGAACCTGTTTACAATGTTATAAGAGCCTGTTTGAAGAAATAAAATATGAAAGAACCTGTTAGACATTCAGCCATCTTTCTCTTAGCAAATTTGAACAATTCATTTTAATTTATCCAAAATCTAATTATACCTTTTAATAAATCTGAATCACTCATTTTAAGATATCTATACCTCACCACACCCAATCCATCCTCCATCTTCTTCCTTTAGTCCCCCACGAATTTTGTTATTTGTTACTTTTAAAAAACAAAAAATATTTTTTCAATCACCACTATTCTGACCTTCACTATCACACTACCATCACCATAGCCACTACCATCATCACTGGCGCCATCACCCCACCACTGTGTCACAATCTCTATTTTCACCTTCGTTTCATCACCACCACTACCAAATATAAAAATATATATTTTTAATTTTTTTATAAAAAATATTTTTCATTAAAAAATATTTTCTATCTAAATAAATGAAGCATAACATTGGGAAACAAGCTGATTTCAGTTAAATCTGTTCATAACTAAGAAAAATTCTTTTATTTAAAAAAATTATTTAGTAAAACTTTGTATCCCCTTTTTGTTTTTCCAGCACATAAATCTTTGTACTCATCCTTTCTAACCAATCACGACTCATGCTTGTTTCGATTCTCTACAATTTTCCTATTTTCAAATACATTCATATATATATATATATGTATATATATAAATTGTGTGATAACATAAAACAAATAGATTCATACTCGTTAATTGAAATTTTAGAACAAGCAAACCATTCTAAAAATTACAATACAAAATAACATAGAAAAGCAAACCGAAACCTACACTAGATAGTGTCCTTAATTTTTTTAAATAAATTTAAAAATTTCTAGATATGCATAAAATTTGACAAGAATAATGTGAAAATGTTAATTAATGTGTATTTGATTTTATTGTTGAGCCAAATAAAATAAAATAAGATTGAATGTATATTTAGCTTTGGTTGTGAATCTTAAAAAAAAAAAATGGTTGTGAACCTTAAAAAATAAAAAAAAAAATAAAACAAAAGAAAAAAGATTGAATGTATATTTAGTTTTGGTTGTAAATCTTAAAAATTTTAAAAAAAAATGGTTGTGAACCTTAAAAATAAAAATAATAATAAAAAAAAGATTAGATGTATATTTAGCTTTGGTTGTGGATCTTAAAAAAAAAAAAAAAAATTGGTTGTGAACCTGAAAAAATAAATAAATAAATAAAATAAAAAAGATTGAA